CCTCCAAACCAGCCACTTTGTCCTGGGTAACAATTGCTGCCAATCTCCAGGTGAGGGCTACAGATCACTCACAATTACAACTGCTCTTCAGGTAGCAGAGATCAGTTCCTCTGGAGAAAACAGTGGACTCTGTCATTATACCCTGCTGAGGTCACCACAGCAAATTGACACAGTTTGCCCAAAGCCAGAGCACTGCCCCAGAGCCTCTTTCTAGATCTCGTTGTATTGCTTTCACAACGGGCTTTACTGCTAGAAAGAACATAAGAGGAGAGCTCTGCTGGATCAGACCAGTGAGGGTCCCTCTAGTCCAGCATCCTGCCTCACTCAGTGGCCAACCAGTTCCTCTGTAGGGCCAACAACAGGGCAGAGAGGCTGAGGCCTTCCTAAGAACATCAGAAAAGCCCTGCTGGATCAGACCAATAGTCCATCTAGTCCAGCATCCTGTCTCACACAGTGGCCAACCAGTTCCTCTGGAGGGCCAACAACAGGGCGGAGAGGCTGAGGCCTTCCTAAGAACATCGGAAAAGCCCTGCTGGGTCAGACCAGTGAGAGTCCATCTAGTCCAGCATCCCGTCTCACACAGGGGCCAACCAGTTCCTCTGTAGGGCCAACAACAGGGCAGAGAGGCCGAGGCCTTCCCCTGATGTTGCCTCCTGGCTCTGAGATTCAGAGGATCCGTGCCTCTGAATGTGGAGGTTCGTCTCAGTCACCATGGCTGGTAGCCATTAATAGCAACCCAGGTAGCTGGAGTTGAGGAACAAGACCTGTGTGGGAATCTGGAGGGAAGTAAGTCTGGTTCAAGAAGCCTAGAGGGAAGGGATCATGGAAGAGGGCGAAACCCCCTGAACCGGGAGCCGAAACAGGATGTAACCGAGACAGATCAAGATGGGTAGCCACTTTAGTCTGTCTGTAGCAGTAGACATGAGCAAGTGGACTCTTGCTCTTTTCTACCAAACCTCATGGGTTGCAGTTACAGGAAGGAAGATGTTAGTTGAACATTAGAAAACAGTTCTTCAATGGGGAGAGCGATCCAATGCCAGAATGCCTCCCTCTGCGCAGGTTCTCAAGCCGAAGCCAGACAGGTCTAGCTTGGATCGCCTGCAGGGAGAAATCTAAGCATTTGGGAACAATGGCCCATGTGTCTCTGATCCGTGGCCAGCAGTTGTGGGACAGAAGCCTGGGGAACAGCAGCCATTCTGCCCCAGCTAGCATCGAAGGGACAAAAAGTGCTCGAAACGCGCGCCGCGCTTGGTAACAAACCGTGTGGCTCTGATCCGGAACACACACACACTGTGGAGGTGGGAAGCTGCTATGGTTTCCATAGCTACCAAGATGCAGGCAGCCAAACCAGCTGCTTATAAAGCAGTGTCACATTTTAAATCTCACAATCCATTTGCGCCCGTTCCCCAAACCCCACGAAATGGGGGAAAGAAGAAGGGGAGATAGTGTGGCGTTTGTGGGTGTGGGCGTTTGTGGGTCGGAGGCTGGAACACGGAGGTTCCGTTTAGCCAGTTTTCCGATCGATTTTTTCCCCCTGCCCCTGGCAGTGCATATGTTCTTCCCTCCCCCCACCTCACATTACGACAGCCCCGTGAGGTAGGCAAGGCTGAGAGGACCTGACCCAAGGTCACCTTGTGTATGGGCAGCGGGTTAGACTTTGTCCAAGGAGTCCCGTTCCGATTCCTGATCAGCCTGGAAGCTCGTTGGCTGGTCCTGATCACAGCCCGCCTCCCGTGTCTCAGGTTGGCTGGGATGCTAAAACTACCCTGAGTTTCTCGGAGGAAGGAGCAGAGAGAGATTTAATAAGGAGATTAAAAAATGCACAGTCTGGGCCAACACCGTGCAACCATTTCATTAAGCAAGGAAACCAAGTCAGCTCTTCAGTTGATTAGACTCTTCTATTTGCATATTTGGAGCAAGTTTTAAAGCGGTACGCAGAGGGCAGAAATATCTGGCACAGGTTTCTAAAAAGCTGGATCTCTGTTCTTCCAGAGAACCAGCATGAAGTCACGGTTCGAGTAGAACAAAGTTTGAGTCCAGTGGCACCTTCTTGACCAACAAAGTTTAACTCTGGCTATAAGCTTTCATGCTCTCTTGCTCCAGACCAACACAGCTACCCACCTGCATCTATCTTAGTGGTTAGAGTGTCCAGACTAGGGCCTGAGAGATGCAGGTTCGAACCTGACATGGATACTTCCTGGGTGAACTTGGGCCAGTCACAGGCTTTCAGCCTATCCTACCTCACAGGGTTGTTGTGAAGATAAAATGGAGGAGACGAGGACGTAAGCCATTTTCACTTCCCAGTCAGTCCCTGCCTAAAGGTTCCTCCAGGAAAGAGCCAGCTCGTAGCATGACAGAAGAAGAGATTGGATGTATACCCAGAGGAGTCTCAGAGCGGCTTACAACGGTTAGAGTAGAACAAAGTTTGAGTCCAGTGGCACCTTCTTGACCAACAGTTTAACTCTGGCTATCTTAGTGGTTAGAGTGTCCAGACTA